CCTAAAAGTAGTAAAGTAGTTCATGCTATTTGAAAGACAGTGAGAGTGACACAAGATGCCAGTAACTGGGCGGGGTGATATCAACATATGATAAAACTACCATGAAAGTTCTCAAAATTCCGTAAACAAGACTGGTTCTCATACAATGTAAGTGCTTTCTCTTGGTTGCGTCAAATTCAGAAATTAATATTATCAATAGTGCTATGACGAAGGGAAAGAGCCTTACCATCGCTACACATGGTGCCATTATCGCTCTCCACAAGCATATCCAAATATCATTTTTGTATAAACTTTCATGTAAATTTATTGCAAGTCCAAGCCTGTGGGGGTGATAACAGGTTTAATGCCTGATAGGGCAGTTCACTACTGGGGATGGGGGAGGGGGGAGGGGGGATTTGTGAATTCACAGTATTTATTTCCACTGTTCGGTGGTGTCTTAACTTCTTCTGAAAGCAGCATCAAGACTTTACCATAAATGGATCTGGGGAGGCTATCCCAAAAGAGGTGCCCATTCTTGGCTCGGAGACACGAGTAGATGTAGAGCACATTACAGCACGCATACCGGTAGAGAAGTGCCGTTTTGAATCGGGCCGGAAAGCTTGTTTTTCCGTATGAGCGAAGTGTGGTAGAGTGCCGGGGTACCGGTATGTAGTCCAACAGTCTTGAGGTGCCGTGAAGCCAAACCTAACCTAACTGCCGCGTATGCTTTTTTTTTTTTTCCTTCTTTCCCCTCAGCCACGGGTGACTGTTTACGAGCGATGAAGGCGGAATAAGGCGGGGGGGGGGGGGGGAAACCCCCTCCCCGACATGCCCCACACTCCGAACTTCCGGAAAGGGAGAAAGTGAGTGAAAGCGATATCGCCCCGACTCTGTGGCGAAAAAGGCTTTCCAACTTCCCGTCAGCCCCCAAACCTAAATTACCCGTCTTCCCCGCGCACAAATCTGCGAGCGGTCACAAGGTATCACTCGGAGCTAACCGCTAAAGTTGGAAATGGTGGATAAAAGCCAAGTTGGGTCTTTGAGAACCGCCCTCGAAATATCGCACTGTAAAATGAGCACCCCGCGGCACGACAGTGTAGTGAGAGCTGGTGGTAGTGTTCCCCACCAGCCGAGAATCTCCAAACCTCATCTTTTTTTTTTCAAATCTCTTAAGGAAAAAGAGGGGGAAAGAGACCGGTATCCCGCCCTCCCCCTCTCCAAGAACACCCTCCCAATATGTCGGGAGGTATCATACTAGTGAGAAAGAAAGAAACTAGCTTTGATGAAAAAAAAAAAATCTCCGATTGCCCGGGAAGATATCTACACGCATACGATTTTTGGCCTAACTAGCTAACTTATCAACTCGGAGCGGGGAAGCCCGGCACGGTTTTGCTATGATACTACTACGGTACTCCTGGAATTGATGAGGAATGCCGAGTGCTCGAGTACCGTAGAGGGAAGGGGGGGGGGGGGGGGGTCAGATTGGATTTAGATTTTCCTTTTCCGTAAACGTACAAGTCCTCGATAGATTTGTTTATATAAGCTAGGGGGCTAGGTGGAAAGACTGATGATGGGTTCGTAGCGGAAATTGGAGATTGGTTTTCGCACACTCAATATTTGGAACGTATCCTCTGCTCAGGTTTCACTATTCGGATCCCCTTGTAGCTCGTTTTAGTGAGCGATACCGAGTGACCACTAAAAAAACGGGCTCGAGCTGGCTCATGGGGAACACCACCGGGGGGGGGGGGTTGTACTGATAGAGCAGGGCCCACCTTCCATGGTATCACACCGTGCTGTACAGTACAATACCTCGAGGGTGGATTACCTTGCACGTACAGTACGCTGTTGTGGCCAACCAGAGTCGATTCTTGGAAGATTCGCGGAGCGCTAATCCTTGCGTAGGGTCCGATTGATGCGATTTCCTTATCGCACGATGCGGCCGAAATAGAAGACGTGGATCACATCCATTATACGAGTAGTATAGACGCATACATGGCTAGAAACACCAATGTTTTCTTGTTTTTGTTTTCCGCTTTTAAACACGACATGACATGACAAGACCATGACCAGACCAGACCAGACCGTTCCATGCAATTCCCCCACCCCGTGCGCGATGTAGTCGTGATGATGACGGGAATGAAGAAAAGGGAAAAAAATGAAACAAAACTAAGTATGTGAAAAAAGAAAAGAAGGGGAGAATATGAACTAGAAGAAGAAAACAGCGCAACCATTCGCCACCCTACAGTACTAACAAGAAGTAACAAATGCAAAGAGTAAGAAAAGTGGAAAGTAAACCAATCCAAAGCAAAAAAGAAACTAAACCATGACAAACCCCCCCAACCCTCCGACTCCCATCCCTACTCCCAAGCCTCCTCCACTCCCCTCCACAGCGAGTTCGGGGGCACCCTCCCGCCCAATCTCATAGCTAAGTACCCGCCCGTCGACAAACACGCACATGAGCCTGTACCTCCGGCGCCGCTCATTGCCCCTCCACCCGCCCCGCCTTCTACGAACCGAGCTACCCACCTCCCTGCCTTGGATCGGCCCCACGGCGACGCCCAACAGCGCCGTGCTCCCGCCAGGAACGACGGTGCCTGGAGGCTCCGACGCCCGCGGCAGTATGTCGTCCAGGCGCATACAATACTCATCCCTGACGCGCGTCAGCCTGAACACAGCGATACGACCTTTTTGAGAGGCGGCGATGACGAGGGATAGCTCTGGTATGGCGTGACAGAGGTTGAGACGGTCGATGTTAGCGGAGTATTGGTACCGGTTGGATGAGCGCGGCAGGGAAGTGCGCAAGGGCGAGCGACAGAGGACGATAGGGGAGAGGGAGGAAGTGACGGTGAGGAGGTGGGCGTTGCGGTCAGTTGTGGAAAATATCAGGGATGTGGGGGGTTGAACGGGGGTTTCTTCCTCCGAGTCCGTGTCCGTGGAGGCGTAGTTGGAGGAGGAGGCTGAGGAGGTGTAGCCAGAGTTGGAGGAGGTGGAGTAGTTGTGGGATCTGGAAAGGTACCCGGAAGAGGGACGGGTGCGCTTTGTTGGGCTCGTGGTTGCGCTTGTTGAGGATTGGATGGAGTGAGAGGGTGAAGATGAAGAGGAGGGGGGTGGGGAGTCGGAGCCTTGGACGAGCCCTACGAATTGGGCCGGGGCATAGAGGCTTAAGGAAGAGCGGGGGTTATGGACCGCGTCCGAGCCTTGATAGGAATGATGTCCGCTGCCGTCGTCGGAACTAGCATCGGTAAAGGTGTAGTAGCTGCTCCCACTCTCGGAACTACCGGTGGTAACAAGCTCAACTGGAGCGCCCCCGGAGCCAAAGAAGACTTCAACCTCTCCCTCTGCACTCCCTTCACTCCAGCCGCCGTCTTCATCCTCCTCCTCTTCCGAGTATTGATCCTCGTCATAGCCAGCGTCAGCCATGGCGGGCCTGTACAAGAGGTCGTCAGTCGGTGAAGAGCCCGGTATGTGGGCTCCGGGGTTTGGGGAAATGTCCCATGCTCTAGCCGTCCTGCCCAATTGAGCCTGTGAGCCGGGCACCGGGTCGTAATAGTCCGTGGATATTGTTTTAATGCCTGTGGCATTAAGGGATATTCTCGAAGGACCCTCCAGGGATGCTTGGGATTCCTCGGGGACGGGCTTCCCCAGTGCTTCGTAGATATTGGAGACGGGCTTAAAGGCTTGGGGCTTTAAGAAGAGGACAGACCAACCACGACTGTATCACGCTCAGCCATTGATCCACTTATACTATTCATGTGGTAGGTTATGCTTACTTGTCCACTCCGAGTCTGCATTTCTCAACCGGGCGCTCGGTCCTAACATCCCAAAGTATTGCCATCCCATCAATCGAGGTGCCCATAAGCCATCTTCCCGTAGGATCGTCAAGAAAGGACACGTTAGGTATATTGCATCCATGGCCCTTCAGTATCGTGGTGGTTTTATTTTTCATTGACGTCTTCTTTCGACGTTTCTTACTCGCGTCATCATTGCCGGGGAGAGGCTTCCCATTCAGATCGCACCTCCCCTCAAAGCCACCGCCCCCATCATATCCAAACGAACCGCGCTTCCTCCTTCTCCTCCTTCGATGCTTATGAGCGAGCCCAGAATCCGTACCCTCTCCCGGACATGGGCAATCCCCATCGTCCGTTATCGCCAATTCAAAGACATGGATTAAATGATTGTTCGCGCTGACAGCCACCAATCTCCGCTCTTTATGCAACGCAACGCCCCAAGCGCTCTCCCCCACCGACAATCGAAAGGCCAATTTGCTCAGGTCCCTTGTGTACCATACGCAGACGTCACCATCGTCGTGTGCGCTCACAAGAACCTCCTCGAACCCAAGGTCCCCAACCGTGAGCGAGTTGATCGCATGAGGTTCTGCAGGGTCGATGTACCCGGGTCCGGTCGGGGTAGAGCTAGAAGTGAGGGTTATATAGGGGATATTGGGCGAGATGATCTGGTTCGGGTAGGCCGGGCTGTAGACACGAATTGACGACTTAAGGGCAATGTATAAATGGTTATGGCGTTTTGAAGCCGCAACCTAAAATGGGCAATCAGCCTCCAAACCCAGAGACACCCGAGCTGGGCGGCGGGAATCTCACAAGGTTATTGCGCCAGAACGACACTTCTCCCAGGTCACTAAAAGATCAAAGCTGTCAGTGGGTCATCGGTCCGAGATGGAATTTCGTCAGACATACGTCTGCAATGGGCAATCCCGTCAGCCAATTTCCCTCTTCCCCCCGGATACAAAACTGGGACGGAACTTTGGAAATGACATGGAATCAAACACACCTTCTGCTCGCTGAGAAAAGTAATCTCGATCGGTTTGTACGCTGGCAAGTTCCTATTCACCATATCTGCGAGGGCAACGGGGTGGCCGGGTTCACAAAAAGCATCCGTCCAGGTAGGATAAGAGGGTTGGATTGGCTTTTCCTGCTCGATCTCGCTGGGCTGGGTAGCTGTAGGTGTGATTAAAACAATCGGGGGTGAAGAGGATAGGTTAAAGGGAAGGACAAAGAATTGGGGGCAAATAACTTGAGGAAAGATGGTGGGGGGCAACAAGAATAAAATATGTTGGAGGAAAGGCTAAGAGTAACGAATGCACAAAGGGTTAGGGTTAAAAGGGGGGGTTCTATTGCGAGATTTTTTTTTTTTTTTTTTTTCCCAATTGAAATGGGAATGGATGCGGTGTGTGAGTGGATGGGCGGGTGGAGGAGGGAATGCTGATGGGTTCAATGGATGAATAGATGGAAGGATGGGGGGAGGGGGGGGGGGCGAAGGGATCGATCACACGCCAGACGGTGACGGGGTATCGGGACGATATAGGAGAAAATGACACGATGTACGAAGCCTACTGTAGCCTGTGGCCTCTTGTGACAAGTTATGTATTGCTCGTCATGATACAAGTACTATGGAGCACGGAGGCGGATAGCATAATTTTCTCACCAGATAACCGGTGCGAGGCGGAGAGGCATTAAAGAGATTTTGATCATGTGTGATTTCACACTGCTCATTAATCTATCCCCATTATTCGTCTTCGCGCTCCCACGAGTAATGGGAAGAGGATGTGACATTACGGGGTGATGCTCCTTCCCTGATTGATAGGGCTTATAAAAGTGTACTGTCCGAGCAAATCCAGGGAATTTTCCCCCGTTCGTTCATTCCATTGCTAAGCTTGCGTGCCCTTCCAAGAGGAAGCACAGACAACAGCTAGTGGCGGGCAAACAGCCAGGTTCGCAGCTCCCAACTAGGCCCAACTGTCGTTCCATATGTACGATAGGCAGAAGGAACGATCGCGCGCATCATGCAGGCCAATCCCTCCCTTCCACTGGTCGAGCGCAAGATGTTGTGTCCCCTGTTGCGGCGAAATGGTAGGAGATGGGAGAGGAAAAGAAAAGAAAGGGAAGGAAGTGGGTAAGAGAAAAAGAAAAGGAAAAAGAAACAAGAGGAAAAAGAAATGAAAAGCCATGCCGTGAAACTGTTTTTGTGACCTTGCAACCTGCAAACGTTTCCATCGCAAATGTGTGTGAAGGTACGAACACTACACTCCGGAGTAAGTCTGAGCACGAACTGGGCACCGCTATGATTCCGGATCAACTCGTGCGATTCGATCAAATGTCGCACACCGACCATCGTCATTGTGGTTGAAATCGGTCTGGGGGCTTAGCCTCTGTGATTGGCCACTGGTTGGCTTT